TTTTTTTTTTTTTTTTTTTAGCTATGAGAAATTAAGTAAATTAGATGAATGTTGGCTGGAGTTCACTCTAGTTATTTTATTCTTATCTTCGCCTAGAAAGCTAACTTTCCAGACCAGATTATGGGAAAGGGTATAATTACTCAACTGGGTGGATTAGTTATGGTGCTGTTTGGATGGAAACATGCTTTGAAGGCCATGGATTCTTTCTAATTCTTTGTTTCTGTAGATATTTCCAAGGAACTTCAATAAAATGTTTGTAATGAGGGGTTTTTCTGTGTCTAAATGCAAGGTTTACAGCCTCTTATTTCTGGTCTTGGTCATTAGGCAATCAGAATATGGTGGTGTTGTCTTTGGTGGATGGGCTCGAATGGCACAGCCCATTGTCTCTTTCACCATCATAGAGGTAGCAAAGCCAAACATAGGAGAAAATTGGCCCATGAGAGTCCGTGCAGATGTTACAGTTAACTTGAACATAAGAGATAACATCAAAGATGAATGGGAAGGTATGTCTGAGTATGTAAATTCAAATCCCTAAGAGGCCATTAATTTATTTCAAATGAATGTTAAACTTGTAAAAAATTATTATACTATATTAAGTAAAATATGTGAATGTTACAAATTTTCAAATGTTAAATATGTTCTGTTCATATTAAGTTATGTTCAGATAGGGAACTGAAATGTTCAAAGTCGTGAATAGATTATTTTTGACTCTTTGATTTTTAACTCTTTCTGTTTGCATATATTAGCAAATCATATACACATTACAAAATAATTGAAATTTTGTAAAACATAGGTAATTTCCAGATTTACAATCCTTTATCAAGAATCAAGGATCAATATCTACCTTCATAAGACTAACGTTTGAGTTATTGTCACAGTAGTGCTATTCAGATGTTATTTCTCTAAGTCACAGAATAGCTTATGTCTATCTCCACTTTTTATACTTGTTCCTACTTTCCTGTGTTAAATGGGAAGATCAGCTTAATATCTGTTTTCTCATAATCCAGAATTCTGCTTTAACAGGATAACAAGGAAGCCCTCGGGGTAAAGAAGGCAGAACTAGAATATTCAAGAATGATGGGGACAGGACTGATGCCCTCTATATAATTTGGGATTTTCTGTTCAGTTATAATGGCTAATAGGACTGATACGTAGTATTAATTCTGTGTCATGATCCATTGTACTTTCCTGCATCTACCAAAAGGCAAATTAATTAAATAGGAGAATAATATGAACATATTTATTCATTTGCTAGATGGCCATAAACCAAAGAGATATCCAAAATCAACAGAAACTGTAAAAGAATTGAAGGAAGGCATGCAATACATTTTTTCTCCAAGATAGTGTGATTTCAAACTATGAATACATAAATTAATGGGCATTAATAAAAATTATAATCTTGCTGAACTAACTTGGATTGTAGAAATGAAGGTAATGACAGATGTTTATATAAAAACTGAAAGGAACATTGAGATAACTCTGCTTCTCTGTATTAGAAGGACTTGCAAGCTGTGCTTCCTCGTGATATATATATAATACATATGTGTTGCCCTTGTTAACATGCTCCATATTAAAACTAGATGTAGATATATACATTTTTAGAGGGGGGATTCCTATCAAAATCCAAATTATGTTCTGATGAATTTAAATCCAGATCATCTTTTTGTGAATTTAAATAGATTATCTTGTTGCCACAGAACAAATTTAATGTGATTGTAATATAATGTATTTCATGCTATAGTAGTTATATATTTAATATATTTCTCTCTGGATTTTCCTTAAGAATTCAAGGGAACAAGAAATTTTAAAAAATGAAAAGAACATTATAATGCCAGAGATAACAAATTACAACAAAGTTAAAATCAGCATCCATTGCTGTTTGAATATTTACACTGATTTTTAGCACATAACAGCTTGCCCTAGTAACCTTGAGAAAAAAAGTCTTTGCTATGGGGCAAAGAATTACATACTTTGGGGAGGAGATCTAGGATCTAGATATGAACATCTGTACCAGAAGACTAATGGGAAGGGGAGGAGAAAGAGAAACCATCCCAAGTAATTGATTAGCTGAGAACAGTAAACAAAATTCATAGATTCCTTTGTAAAGCTGAACATTTCTGGCTGAGACCTTTGGTTGGGAAGGGGTCTATAGATTTATATAAATAAAAGCACATTGCTGAAAGCCCAAATACAAAAATAATGTTTTACTGAGTAGCTTCATAAATGTTATTTCAAAACTATTTTGACTTTGTTTCCATGGACTTATGTCACATTCTTTTAAACCACATTTTTATTTAAAAGTATAGAAAATGATTTTTTTTTCGTTACATTCAGGTTTGCGCAAACATGATGTCTGCTTTCTAATTACTGTCCGACCCACACAGCCTTATGGTACCAAGTTTGATAGAAGGCAGCCATTTGTGGAACAAACTGGCCTTGTTTATGTCAGGGGATGTGAAATCCAGGGCATGCTGGATGATAAGGGACGTGTCATTGAAGAGGGTATGATAGCTTCAAACCTGTGGTTGAAATCTTTATTATAGTTGTGCAATTTCATCCCTAACCATGTGGGTGGGTGAGGAAAACTGTAATCATAGTGATGCCATTTAATACATGTTCCCTGTCCAGTAGCAGCAGTCGCACAACCCTTAATGAGGACTTCCAAATAAGCTAAAGAAGTACTCATCCTGAAGGGGTTGATTGATTTTGTCAGCCCAGGCTTTCTTCACTTTGTTTTGTGTTGCTATTGCCATTGGCTGAGTTTTGAATTGGTTGCTTTTATACTTGGGATCAATCTCTGTTTAGTGGAAGGAGAAAAAAATAACAAAAAAATAACTAAATATACTTTCTTAAAGTAAGGGAATATATGGAGGAGCAGAATAAGGCTGTGAAAGAAGTATTACCTTATCATTTGAGGGTATATTGTTCATCATATTCTTGGTGATGTTGAGACTCTGAAACTAATATTTCAAATTCATTATCTCGGCCCGTGCAAACAATGATAGTGAGATATATCTAATGTAGAGGTGTGGGATGTGCAATACTGTTCAGACCAAACAGTGTGGTTTATATTTACAACACTTCTGGAATGGTTGGAACAGCATCATAACATTTCTGAGATCAGAACAATGCATTTTAACTTGATACATGTCCACAAAATATATCTTTTGACAGGAGTCATTCTGCAAGGAAGGTATTATTCCTTTCAGAAGGCAGATCATTGTTTGTGATAAAGAAAAGGAAGTCATTTTATACAATATTAGAGCTCGGCATGGGGGAAAGAAACAGCAAAAGGTGGAATAAGTTGGAAAGGACTGGCTACAGCCTGAACTGATGTCTCAAATATTTTTACGATTTTTTAAAATTTGTATCTGACCAATTTTAAATTTGATTTGTCTTTCAATTCAAACAGGGCCAGAACCCAAACCAAGACTTAAAGGTGACTCAAGAACATTTAGAGTGTTCTTGGATCCTAATCAATATCAACAAGACATGGCCAGTACTATCCAAAGTGGAACAGAAGATGTGTATGAAACATTTAATATAATAATGAGAAGAAAACCAAAAGAAAACAATTTTAAAGTAAGTTGTAATATGCTTTCTTTGCCCAAGTAGTTTGTATTTCACCCTCCAGAATATTTGTTTAAGCACACGTTAAAAGAAAGCAGTTAGAGTTATTTCCTTGCACTGCAATTGTCTCCGTTCAATCTGTGCTATCAGCCATGGTGAAAACATAACATAGACCTAAATATCCACTTCCAGTTAAATCTGTTTGGTAATGTGATGGTAGAATAATAAATGCTAAGTAAGCATTGTTTAGTGATGGTGAAATTCCCAGACAAATAATCAAGTATATCCCACAGAACCATCTGTTTCCATTGCTAGCATTGTAATAAATATGTTAAAATGGTGTTTGCGTTTTCTAAGCAAAATGGCTTTAAACTGCCTCAAAGGCAAAAAAAAAAAAGATTATTCAGACTTTTATTGTAAATTGTTTTCCTTTGAAGTTCTAAAAGACTATTTGCAATTTAGTTACAGTCAGGCATCAAGATAATGCAGAAATGGCTTGACAGTATCTCTAATTTCACTTTTTTTTTCTCATGTTTAAAATTAAACCAATTGATTATGTTCAACCTCCTTATAGGATAATTGCAACCTAGAGGATTGTTATCCTTTAGTTGCTATATGCCTCCTTACTCACATAAGAGAAAATAAGATAAATTGCTCTCACTAATGGCAAATGTTGAATAATTTATCAAGTAGATAGCAAAAGCATGATTCCTTTGCTGAGCCTTCTGGGAAAAAGTGGTAAAAATCTTATGTTGACTGCTAGGGTAAAGAAGTATGACAACTGTGAAAGCACAGAGGCTCCGTCCTGTCATGATTCAATATCAGTTTACTGCAGTGACCCTCATCCAGTCCTTTACTGCATTCTGGCACTGGCTTAGAGTATGTGCCAGTGGTCCTGAAAATGATAAATTTAAAATGATTCATTTTATTTCACTCCTTGTGCTTTCTGAACACTTTTTTATATAGTTCTCAGAGCAGAAATATCCATAAGATCGAAAGTATTAACAGCGCATATGAAAGTAGAAGCAAAATGTAATCCACAAAAGACTCATTTCATTAAAATTTTATCCATTGATGAAATATGCAGGTATTATATTCTTGGAAGATGTAGCTCTGTGATCTCTTTGAGACTGATAATTTCTGGGGGCATCTTGATTTTAACTCGATTCATTAATGCAATATGCAAGAATAGCAACTTAAAATATGCAAGTACAGAACAATTTCATGTCTTCAGCAGCAAAACGATCAATAAGAAGCTTTTTATGAGCTGATGTCAGCAGAAAATGTAATTCATTCAGCCAGGCTAAAACCACCTGTCAGTGGCCAGAATAGGTCATGTACAGTTAAATATGAGTATATCTAAAACTGAATGATAAATCTATTACTTATGCATTTTATCAATTATTACAGGCTGTTCTGGAGACTATAAGAAATTTGATGAACACGGACTGTGTTGTTCCTGATTGGCTGCATGACATTATCCTTGGTTATGGTGATCCAGGGAGCGCTCACTATTCAAAAATGCCAAATCAGATTGCCTGCTTGGATTTTAATGATACCTTCCTTTCCATTAATCACTTAAAAGCTAGCTTTCCTGGATATAGCATTAAAGTAACTGTGGAAGACCAGGCATTACAGATTCCACCATTCAGGTGAGATATTCTACTTCGTATAAATCTGAATGTCTTTATATAAGCATATCTTTCATTAAAAGAATGGCACTGTTAAAATTTTATCCATTGATGAAATATGCAGGTATTATATTCTTGGAAGATGTAGCTCTGTGATCTCTTTGAGATTGATAATTTCTGGGGGCATCTTGATTTTAACTCGATTCATTAATGCAATATGCAAGTATAGCAACTTAAAATATGCAAGTACAGAACAATTTCATTAGAACATAAGCAGTGCCCTGTTGGATTGGACCCCTGATTCTTGTAGTCCAGAAGTCTGGTCTCAGAGTAGGCATCCAACTGCACAAGGAAGCCCGCTAGTCTCCTAGCATTTCTGCCTCTGGAGATTCCAAACAGTACGTTTTGTGCCCATTGTATCTCAAGAGCTCAATAATGCAGGCACTCTTCTCCAGTGATTCTAAAGCAATTGTTTAATTTTCCCTTAATTTCTACTTTATTAGTATGAAGTCTCAGCTTTTAATTGCTTTCCCTATTTTTTGTCTCCCCTAAAAGATTGTTTATTTTGTATTGCCATTGACTCCAGCAACTCTTATCTTGTATATAGATATTTGTATTTCTTGATTCAGGTCTCTTTCCTTAGAACCAATTATTTTTAAAAAATGTACTCCCTTGATCTTCAGTCATTCTAGAACACAATTTTCCTGTATCATACTGTCTTTGCATTTTTCCTGCAAAGATCAATATGGTTCTGAGCATTTAGGAGGGTTATTCCATGTCTAAAATGGTCTTTTAACAATCAAGCAGCATTTAAAGCTGAAGGACTGTGGTTTTTTTCCAATAGGATAACATTTCCAGTCAGAAATGAGACAGGAAAGAAACGGAAAGAGAGTGATGAAGAAAGTACCGAAAGCTCTAAAATATTAATTGTTGACCCACATGTCATCCCTAACAGAGGGCCTTACCCATATAATCAACCCAAGCGGTAATATTGCTTTTTGTGAAAGAATATACATGACAGTGGAGTGGTTGAGTCAAGCAGAGGGCATGTTTGTTAGAGTAATGCTGTCCTTAAACAATTTAAAAACAAGGACTCGTGTTTACATGGTCTGGAGTTACCCTTGTAATATGATTTAAGATGTCATTATTTAATTGCAGTAAATCTGCTGATGCAGAGTCACTTTGTTTTGCTTTGTACAACTTTAATATTTGTGATAGTGTTATATTGTTTATTGCTCTAGATATTTTAGTGAAGTAATTTTATTGGTATGTGAACTCATGTATGCTAAAATGACATTTAGCAATAAATACTCAATCTGTTCAAGCTTGATATTAAAATATTTCTTCTGAAATAGATTAAATTAGCTCTTTAAGTCAGTGGGCTTGCAGTACCCTAATTACATATGGGGACCTATAACTTAATTTCAGGAGGATAGTGTAATGACTTGGAGTAATATTATATTAGTTCTTAAAGTAGGAATTCATTTCTCTTGCTATACATAGATTCTTTCCTCTTCCCAATTCCTTTAGAAAGCAGATATAGTAACCAAGTTTCTTTGACTAAAAGGATGGATAAATACGATAAAAATAAGTATAAAAGCATCTTAAAGAAATCAGTGTAAATTGGAACTAGTATACCATGCCCTGGATTAACTGAATTTATTTTTATTCAATTTGCAGAAATACCATTCAATTTACTCATACCCAGATTGAAGCGATCCGTGCAGGAATGCAACCTGGTTTGACAATGGTAATAACAAATAATATTCTTCACTAACAGCTAGTGAAGAAGAATTCTACATTCTTCTACCAAATATGTAAAACTAAATGGTGCCAAATATTCAATATGGTCATTAGCAGTGATTTCATATTTTTCACTAGAAATTTTAAAAAAGGAATGAATTAAATTTTGGATTTTTTTCTAGCAATAATTATTACTGTGCCAACTTACTAAAACTGACTTTAATTGGAGTTTACCCTTTATTCTGGGTAATAGAATCTGTACAGAGTAGTAACCAGAAAGCTGAAAATCATAAGAGAACAATAAACCCTGGCTGAAACCCATGTCCAACATCTAGAACTTCTTGGTGTTTTTGTTCCGTCTGTTTTCACTTCCCAATGAGTATTTACATTCTATTTCCTCCTAAATAATGTTCTTTCTGGTGATAGGTTCATTTTTAAAAAGGCTTTTACTGTTCTGACTATTCTGAAATGTCTACTTTTTGAGCAGCTCTTCCTCAAGTGAGTAAAATGCCAAATACATTATGTATTTTTTCCCTAGGTAGTAGGGCCACCTGGTACAGGTAAAACTGATGTGGCAGTGCAGATAATATCTAACCTCTATCACAACTTTCCTGAGCAGAGGACTCTTATTGTCACACATTCCAATCAGGTAAATAAACCATATATTCCTTTATTGCTTTTGAATTTCCTTTATTTTAGTTTCAAAAAGAAATGCAACATTTGCAAATGGCCCAGTTAGAAAAGAAGCAGGCTTTTTCTCTGATTTATTCCTTTATTTTATTTATTTGTCAAATTTATGTAGCCATCCATCTCACAAAACAAGTGATTCTGGGTGGCATACAACAAAGCTAAAAGTTAATAAATACCTAAAACATCATCATCATCATCATCATCACATTAAAAACTATAAAAACAAAGCTAAGAAAAAGAAGTAGTGGGCAAAGGGATGTTAATAATAACAGAGCCACCTCACTAGTCCACCAGTCCCCTGGGGTCCCCAGGCCTGATGGCACAACCAGGTCTTGAGGGACCTTCGGAAGACAAAACAGTGATGGAGCCAGCCTCATCTCAGTGCAGAGGATATTCCACAATGTGGATGCCACAGCAGAAAAGGCCCACCACCTAGGGCCCACCAAATATATCTCCCTAGACGACGGAGCCTGTAACATACCCTCTCTACTGGATCTGGTGGGATGGGCAGATGTCATCAAGGAGAGGCGATCCCTCAGATAACCCAGTCCCATGCCATGTAGAGCTTTAAAGGTCAACATCAGCACCTTGAATTGGACCCAGAAGCAAACTGGCAACCAGTGCAGCTAGTGAAGCTGAGGTGTAATGTGAGTTCTACTAGGAACACTAAGCCAATCTACTTCACAGAGTTTGGGGCGGGGGGGGGGGAATGGAGGAGGAAATGCAATGCAGAGCAGCTTGAATTCTTAGAGGAAAGATTAAATATATATAAATATTCAGAAATCAGAGAGTATTAGCTCATGCCTTGTAAACATCCCTAAAATATCTGACTGATTGCTGTTGAAAACAAAATTAGATGGATCCTATGCCTCATATAGCAGTTTTTCATAACTCTTAGTCCTGAATAAAGAAAGAAATGTCTCTCTAAAGTGTTGGTTTGTTTCAAAGCACACATCAGGCCTTGCATATAATGATTAGGATTCTAATGTAAATATTCTTTTCATGTTTGTTTTCAATTTAATTCTTCCCAAAATAGAAATAATTATTCTAGTATATCAAATTTCCCTTTAATAACATCAGATTTTCTAAAATCGACTCTTTTGGTTCCTCTTGTTAATCTCTAGGCTTTAAACCAACTGTTTGAAAAAATCATGGCTCTAGATGTTGATGAGCGTCACCTCTTGCGTCTTGGTCATGGAGAGGAAGAACTGGAGACTGAGAAAGATTTCAGCAGGTGAGTCAATAGCAAATAAAAAACTAAGCTGCACAATCTACCCACCCCAAAATAGCTGTATGTTTTGTATTTTTTATTTTTCTTGTATTTATTGCACAAAAGCAAGACATAGATAGGAAGACTTGTTTATATTTATGGTGCAATTATCTGTTCTAGGCAAATTTTATTTCTGGACATGTAAAGATCATTTTACAGTATTTCTGGATTCTACAGCCTATGAGCTATGAATGTTTATTATGTAGTAATGAGAGGAATATATATTGAAATTAAATCAATCATGTGGAAATGGAATTATTGAAATTATTGAAATGTTATATTTGGAAAAGTAAAATATAAATGATAATAATAAGTTTTAAATAAAGTAGCAGTATTAAAGTCCTTTTTTGCAGTTTCCCTCATCTCTCTGGTTGTTTAATTTTCAGTTTGTCTGCTTATATGTAAAGGGATTTAGAAGATATGAGCAAACTGTTACAGAGGGACTAGAAGAAGAGATTACACAGTCCAGAGATAGAAAGAAGCATGAGAAAGAAACCCAAAATAATTTTGATTTGTTTAGAATAAGATGGAACAGGGAGAGGCTTTCAAGATTCTATTAATACACCTACAACAATAAAGTAGCATTCCTGGAATCCCTGCAATGTCTGTTTCTTGACATAGCCACCTTGAAGTACTGGGTTATTGAAGCCTGCAGACCTGCATCTCAGTAGGTCTCAGATCTACATATACAGTATGCAAGTACAAAATAGATGCTTCTTTTAAAGAATTATTTTAGGCACGTCACTTTCATACATGTACCTTATAGGCTTTTTATTAGTGACAAACTGCTCTTGAAGTTTTCTCAGAACAAATGACGATATTTGAGAACATTGACCAGAAAATTAATTTGCAACTGCTTCCCCCCACCCCAAGTTAAGTATAGTACAGCTTTGAAGAAAAGTAGTTCATTTAGAGCTTTCAAAGTGATTCAGTCATATATCTTATTCTTCGTTATGTTAATCTGATCTGCAGGTATGGAAGAGTAAACTATGTTCTCTCTCGGAGACTGGAACTTCTACGAGAGGTTGGGCGATTACAAGAGAGTTTGGGTGTCCCAGGAGATGTTTCCTATACTTGTGAAACAGCTGGTCATTTCTTTTTATATCAAGTAAGAACCTGATAGATCAGACTTACAGTTTGAAGTGATAGAGATTGACAGTGCTGTTGCCATAGTATCCAGACTCCTATGGCTGCTCAACCATGTCCTATAGCCCATTCATTGCCAATATGTTATGCCATATATGAAACAATATGTTAGTCTTGAAATGGCATGGTTTTGGTTCTGTCTGAGGCACATTGCAATATAAAAATACATAGTTGAGAATTGGCAGAAAAGTTTTGGAATTTGGATTATGATATTAGTTGTGTTTCGTTTTAAAATGTAAGTGGCAATTTAAACTGTAATTACACTCTTGTTTTTGTTGCTGTTATCTAACCTCCGTACATAAGGAATCATAATTAGAAAGGCCAGTGGTTTTGCCTTAGTATGACATTGTCAAGGAGCCTTAACTGACTTATGCTCTACCTTGATTATATATTTGAAAGTATTAATCCACCTTGATAGTTATGAAATGCATTCTGAAAGGAAATAAAGTGCTTAGTGCTTTTAGTATTTGCACAAAATTCCAGCTAAAGGTTTCATGGCCCGTTACAAGGAATAAACTTTTAGCATCTAAAATGTTTTGTGAAACTGGCTATCAGTGGTAGCTAGGAATGAATATGGTATGCACATAAGGTGGAGTTCAGAAAACCCCACATATGAGAGGATAATGTTTCCACATTTGAACTGCCTTTTCAGTATGTTCCTTCATGGTGGGTTTTGGGTTTTGTTTTGTTTTTTTGGTGCCTTCAAGTCAGGGTTTTGGGGGTTTTTTGGACTCCTGGCAACTGCTTGGACAAGTCCCTGCAGTTTTCTTGGCAAGGTTTTTCAGGAGTGGTTTGCCCTTGTCTGCTTCCTAGAGCTGAGGGAGAGTGACTAGCACAAGGTCACCCAGCTAGTTTTGTGCCTAAAGCAGGACTAGAACTCACAGCCTCCTAGTTTCTACCCTGCTGCCTTAACCACTACACCAGACTGGTTCTTTCCTTAATGTATATTGAATCACGATATTTCAAAAGGTTTGTCAGGAAAGGAAGATTTTGCGGTGGGACCAAGGCACAAAAGTCATAGTGTATTTCCAGAATTCTGTACAAGCCTCTTTTGATTCTGGCTATATTAATGTATTCTTCTTTTTTCTTTTTAAATCAGGTAATGTCTCGCTGGGAAGAATATATGGTCAAAGTGAAAGCTAAAGGCAGCAAGCTTCCTGAAGTTGCTGATATCTGCAGCTTCTTTCCTTTTCACCAATATTTTGCAAATGCCCCTCAGCCAATTTTTAAAGGCAGATCTTACAGAGAAGATATGGAAATTGCTGAAGGATGTTTTAGGCATATTAAGAAAATATTTACTCAACTCGAGGTAAGATTAACAAAATAAGAAAATACTCTGGCATTCATTTTTAGTTAGAAAAAGGTAACTATGCCACAGTGTTATAATGGGTTTATATAAGGTCCTTCAAATTAGATCTCGTTGAGCAGTGAATAGTTTTTTCCCTTTGGTAAATGTAATGGAGATCGTAAACTGCCATGAATTCTAAATTTTCAGAATATATAAAAGACAAAAAGCTTCCTCTAACATCCTGTCCCCCATCTCCCAAATTTAAAGTAATTTGAGTGCTCTTATAGGGATTAAGTGGGGTAAAGATTCTTGCTTTGTGAGTGGATTGCATGCTTGCTTAATACAGACTAATTTTTAGGGAGCATAAAATTTTTGACACCTTATCTGAGTAAATTTTTCTCAGTGCGGACTACACATGTTACTGTTGCTGTGTGAAAAAATTCTAGATGTGAATTCCAAAATCTGTTTATAAGGGAGAAAAAGAGAAGAGTAACTAGGCTCCAAGTGAATATGCAGAAGCAGATTGTTATGATTGTGTCCTGGGGATAGCATTGTAGCAATTCAGGAAGGAATGGGGGAGGCACTTCCCCACTGTGGTTGAGGGGAAGATGCTTTACCACTCCTGTTTCCTTTTGGTGCATGTTGGAGAGAGATGAATTTGAGATTGGCTCACAATACATAGAGAAAGGTGCTGCTGGATGCGAAAAGTAGTCTGGGGTTTGTGTAATTGTTAAGTTAGGGCTGGATATATATTGTTCAGTATTATTCCAGTGTAAGGAAAGGCTTCATTTTTTTAAAAATTGAGATACTACTTCTACTCCACAAAGTGCAGTCTTTTGACAAATATTCCTTCCTTCCAACACAACGCATATTATCTACTATTGTTTTACCAACATTTGCACATCTTAAAATTTCACCATTCATTTTCCCAACTTTAGTAAATCTGTCAAGATACACAAATTCATCCACTTGCTCTATGTTTTTACCATTTATAAATTAGCCATCCTTCACCCTATTTCCCCTGTCAAACACAAATGCCTTGATCTTTGATACATTGGTTTTCAGATCCATACTCCAAGTTTCATCATGAAGTCTAACATTCACTCCAGATTGGGCTCTGTTAGCAACATGGCATAGTCTATATTAAAAGCTATACATATATTCACATCTGCAACCAACACCCCTAACATTCCATATACATTACGAGAGGGGAACATATGACCTTAGTGAGGACCGTATGCTGAATATCCCAGTTTATATATGTTTACTTCCATCATAATCCACTTTGAACTAAACCAACCTTCAATTCTGTATTTACCTAAAATGTTTCACAATTTAAGCCTGTTCACTTTATTATGTATATTTTTCTAAATCTAAACAAGCAACTTTTTCAGATTTGTATGTATCTCAGTGACCTGCTGAAAAGCAAAAATCTGATATTCACACCTTCCAGAAACACTTAAGAAAATAATCCCCTTATAGTTTTTCATTCATTTTTGTTCCCTTTCCCTTTGAATAAGAGAACAATAACGGAGGGCATTTTTTCAACCATGAGGCACAGATGCAGTCTTCACAAACTTGTTAAAAAGATCACACAAACATTTGTAAAAACAAGCCATGTCCATAGTTTAACAATTCTTCCAATTGCACAGTCTACACCTGCAGACTTATCATTTTTCATCATTCTCACAGCATTTATGACTCTTGATTTTTGGCTTGAACAATAACATGTATGGCAATTCTTTTGATCCTACTCTTCAACATATTGCTGTCATTCCTTTAAACATCTCTTAAATATTCCTTCCAGCTTTTTCTTACTTCAGTTTCAACCCAAATCATTTTATCAAGTTTATTTTAGTTCCATTCAATCTGATTTATTTGTTCGTTTGTTTGAAGCATTTATATAGCCAACCATCTTGTACCAAACTCTGGGCGGCTCACAACCAAGAGATAAAATAGCATCTATTTACAATAAAAAATATTAAAACAAAAAAATTAAATAAAAATCCAAGGACCTAGCACCATAGCTAAGCTTCCATGCTGCCCACAGCAAGCACGTCTCACCAGTCTCACCTTAACCCACCACGGAGAAGGCACGCTTCCTAGGTCCCATAAGATGACAACATTTAAGGGAGGAGACTAGGAGCGTGCCCACCCTATTCAATCTGGTAGGATGGGCAGATGTCCTCAGGTAGAGGTGGTCCCGCAAGTAACCTGGTCCCATGCCATGTAGGGTTTTAAAGGTAATAACCAGCACCTTAAATGGCACCCAGAAGGACACTGGGAGCCAGTGCAGCTCACGCAGAAGAGGTGTAACATGGGTGAACCTAGGGGCACCCATCACTGTGCTTGCCACCACATTCTGAACAAATTGTAACTTCCGGGTCTTCTTCAAGGGCAGCTCCATGTACAGCGTGTTTGATAATCCAAACAGGAAGTAACCAAGACATGAGTGACCATGAGCAAGGCCTCCCAGTCTAGGAAAGGCCTTGCTATAGACTTATCATTTGGTCCAGTTTACCTAGTTCCAAATCATTCAGAATCAAAAACTATCATTTTTATTTCCATCAAAATAATTCTGCAATTTGTCTGTCTCTTTTAATCTTAATTATATCTTGCTGTCACTGATCACATTCTTTACAACTATTATTTTTCTTTCCTTACACATTATACATTATCTTTCACTTGTCCTGTCTTTTTTTTTTTGCAGCAAACATTGCTTTATATGTTAATGGTCTTTTTAAATCCATCATTCAGCCATGTAAATATTTCCCATTAATGTAATGTCACATACTTCTACAGCACTTTATAAATATGATTCTTTACGCTCTAGCTTTATGCTCTCTTCCAACATATACTACTTTCCATTCCTTTTCATTGTCATCATAGATAATCAAATCACTTATCCTTTATTTTTCTAAAATGTATTTATTTATTTGCAATGCTTGTAAGCAGCTCTAATCCTAAATGGCTCTGAGCAGTGTACAGCAACAAAATAAAAATGCATAGCCTAATAACTAAAAATTAAATATTCAAATACACATTCTCACTCAAAACCTCTAGGAGCCAAAGGCTCACTGGACAATACAGCATTGCCTTGCTTGTGAAATGTTAAGGCAAAGGCTGCACATACCTCTTGGGGGGTATGTTCCATAAAGTGGGGGCTGCTAGAGAGAATGCCTGTCAGTTATCCCACGTCCATGAACCTTATGAAGGTGGGGGATTTTTAAAATGACCAGGCTGGACAGGCATATTTCATTCTGGCAAGGTGTTGGCCAAATATATCCATCCAGCTATGCCATATAGAGCTCTGCTCACACCCCACTTGGCTACCTAAAGAAGGGGCATGGGTGTCCACAGGTGGCAGAGTTCCAACTACAGAAAATCCTACCCTCTTCCTTTGGTTCCACAACTCAAAAAGAATCCCAGATTACAGCACAAGATGCCACCTCACTCATCACTATGAACTCTGGCCAGTGGCATCTAGTCAGAATGGATATGAGTGGCTTTATCCACCAAGAAACCCACAAATCAATCCAGCATGTCTGCAGGTATTTATTCTGCCTGTCTCTTTAGATAACTCTAAACAAAAGTACCAAGAGACATCTGTGGATGCAGTAAGCGCAGAGGAAAAAACATCTGCTACATTGCTCTTATGGCCATTTTATAGGCTTGAATGTGAGCTCTGACCAGTATGTGGTCACACTCACTTCTTTTTTTTTCTTTTTTTTTTCGCTACCATAACTCTAGGTGTCTTTTCAGTTGTGTCATTTCTCTCAACTGCTCAGTAAACCAGGGAGCTATTTGGGATCAGTGGGCAGAGACCGTGATGGACTAGTCTCATCGAGTTCTCTGGCCACTTCTGGATTCCACAGGTTGGCCAGTTATGACATGGAATTGTCTGCCAAAGTGTCAGGGAAATCCCTAAGTGTCTCTGGAAACCTTCTGGATCCATTGAGCACCTGGAGCAGACCATTCTAAGTGGTCCTCCAGCCTTGTGGAGGTCCACAACATCAGTGAGCTACAGTTTGATGAAGAAGTGATCTGATCACAGTAAAGGAGTAATGTTAATGTCTTCCCTATTCAGATCATGTTTCAAATCCTCTGAAGTAAAGAGCGTATTTCCTGGGTTCCACTAGGTGGCATTGTTTCATAGAAAGGACCCAAAGCGTCCACAACCTGTGGAATCTCATGGGATGGGCAGAAGCAGTTGGAGATAAACATCCCCCCCCCCCCGTGCCATGAAGGGCTTTATAGGTGGTAATCAGTACCTTGAATTGCACCTGAAAGCCTATAGGAAGCCAGTGCAATTTGCAAAGTAGTGCTGTTACATGGGCATACTGTGATGTACCTGTGCCACTGCATTCCAAAGGCAGCCTCATGTAGAGCATGGGAAGTACAGGTAGAGCTTTAGTGATCTGGATTACGTTTGTTCTGTTTGATGGCAGCTTGACAGTTCATTGAAAATACTAGCGTCCTGATCTTTTTTTACAGAATGTTGGGTATCATCTTTTCTTTCTGTAGGAATTTAGAGCATTTGAACTGCTCCGTAGCGGACTGGACAGATCAAAGTATTTACTTGTGAAGGAAGCAAAGATAATTGCAATGACTTGTACTCATGCTGCATTGAAACGCCATGACTTAGTTGAGCTGGGTTTTAAGGTAATACCATAATGCACAAAATACTAAAACTTTTTAAAATCTGCTGTCTTGACTTTTTTTATCAGAAGTCATGAGATTAAAGATTAATCTCTGTTTTTGTTTGCTCTTCAAATGGTGATTGTAACACTTTTAACTTTTTAGAGGTTTTTGAAGATTAAGGCTCTACAGTGCTTCAGATTTTATTTCCGAAAGGTGCTTCAGAATGTGTGGAAGCATGAATGAGCATCTTTCTGCAAGATCCTAAAATCTTTTTTCTGGGATCACAAAGGAGCTGCAGAGGTGTTGCCTTTAAGGCCTTGCAGACAGGTGCTATATTCATCTTCCTGTTCACTCCAAAGCACTTTTTTAAGACTTTGAGATCAAAACGGTTACATAACACCAATAAAGTTTATATATGGATAAGGCATACATTATAGAAAGGCAGTAAAGAGGTAAATTCTTATTTTGGTTGTGATATTGGGTACAATGTTTTTGATTACTTTCATGGAAATGCTTCAACATAGACTGAATTCAAACATTACACTGAGCCACAGCCAAACAAGCCACATAAAGCTTAGCACTATGTGTGTATCCAACCAATATAGTTTGTTACCCATGGTTTTTGGCTTAGTATGCTATGTGAACCCAGCCAATTGTGACCTCTTTAAAAAGCATAGTTGCGCAAACCATGCTTAACATGCATACACCAAAATAGTATAATATTTTATTTATTTATGGGCAATTTTTCTATCCCTTTTCTACTTGCAAAGTGACCAAAATGATCTCCTGACAGATTTATGCATGTTGCAAGCATGCTAATTCAAGTGCATTTATTGTTATACCAACCATTAAGAAATACAAAAAATACAGGTATTGTGTTGACATATTAGTTCTGGGCAGCAGATGGCTGGAGTTATTTGCGTGTAACTTAATTCTCTCTGAACTTTTCATATCTTTTACTTTTAACTGAAGAGTTTTGTTTATGGCAGTACATATCAGATTATCCAGGAAATTGCATTTACCTTTTGGTAAATAAATTATGATTACAACATTTTATTTAATACATTATTAGAAGTTATGTCTTTTGGTAAGCAAGTAACCATGATTTTAAACCAAGTGCCCTTGCAGTAATTCTGCTCCCTCAACTTCTGAGTTTGGCTAATATATTTCATTTGTGATTTCTCAGTATGATAATATCTTAATGGAAGAGGCTGCTCAGATACTGGAAATTGAAACTTTTATACCACTCCTTTTGCAGGTGAGAACTCAAACATTACATCAATTTATGACCTTTACATATTAATAAGAAACTATTATTCCAATGGATTGAAGTTTATGAATAGTAGAAAGCCTTATTTGAATATTATATCAAAAATGTGATGATTCATCGCTTAAAGAAAGTTCTCTTTGAGAAGAATCTGTCTTCCATCTGAGACATTTTCAGAAGAAAGGAAATAATGTTCTTGTATTCTAGACCAGGAATCACAAACTCGGATCATCTGAAGGGCCACACAAGGGTTAGTTTCTTAATCCAAGGGCTACAACAGTGAAAGATGTTTTGTTTTCAGTTAGGCATGTGTCACCCATTCATAAGAAGTTATAATTCCTGCAGATTCAACTCAATTTCAGTTTAAACCTAATGGGAAGCAGACAAAAATGATTCAAGATATTCTGTCACGTAGAAAAAAAGTAATTTTAAGTTGGTATTTTCCAATTACAATTTAATGGGGAAGAATGGAGGTTTGGAGTTTCAAATCATATTTAACATTGGAGCCCAAACCTCACCTATTTCATAGGACTATTGCAAATGGAAATCAGCCAGCCTGGAACAGAAACAGGACTAGTGTCTTTGGGATATATACGTGGCAGGTGGGCTTGGATAGGCTAATGCTGGGCTGGGCCTTCATCCAGTTCAGCTTCTGGGTGGCAGATGAGGAAGACTCCTGAAGAGAGAATTGTGTGGAAAATGCAGCAGCTTCTTCACTTTGATCTCAGCAGCACAAGTGACTAGCAGAGGCTGCACCAGGTATACATCCTTGTTTCTGCACTTGGACAGGGATGGTGTTCCCGTCTCTCTCTCCTTGAAAGGTGAACTCCCCACCTGAGAAAATTTGTCAGGGTTTTACTAAGAGATGCCACACTGCCAGTGCTTCCTACATCTACCCTGACAAATAGCTGTGGAGCCCAAGGAGGTCCTAAGCAACTTTGGCCTCATCTCATCTGACCAGCTGTAGCTGGGAGGAAATTTAAAAGGGGCAGGCAAAACAGGCAAGTGGGGATGCCTGTTCTCCTCACCCTTGCTCCAGGTGCTCATCACCAGCAGCTCTTCCCTCCCCATGGGAAAGGAGGGCAGAGGCAGGAAGCAACTGGAATGTGGTGTCTCTCAGGAAATTTGGCCTCAAGGAGAGCACACCTCCAGATGCAAAAGAGGGCAGAATGCACTCCTAATGTGGCCTCTACCAACTGCACCAATGGCAAGCTGACAAAGCCCAGCCCAAGCTGTGAGGACACCTTGAGGCTGAGTGGACAAAATGAGCTGAGGGCACTGCATGGGGACTGTGGGCCTTGAGTTTAAGAATTTGTATAAGTTATACACAGTTATAAAAGAAGAGAAAAATGCAGTTCAGAAAATTGTATTAGAAGAAAAGCTGTTTTTAATATTTAGTGTTGATGAACCTGTTTACTTTAGAAATACAAACTACACTAATGCAGCTTTTTTCCCCTTGATTTTGTAATTGTTTGATATAATTGATGTGTAGAAGTCAAAGCTAATACACTAAATCAGCTCAGTCATTTACAGTACAATCATAGTTTTTGATCAATCATATATAATAATGCTAATACTAGAGTCTGATTTGTATTTAACAGAATCCACAGGATGGGTTCAGCCGATTAAAACGGTGGATAATGATTGGGGATCATCATCAGTTGCCACCAGTCATTAAAAATATGGCTTTTCAAAAGTATTCAAACATGGAACAGTCTCTTTTTACACGGTTTGTTCGTGTGGGAGTGCCAACCATTGACTTGGATGCCCAAGGGAGAGCAAGAGCAAGGTAAGGCATAGGAAAAATTTTAAGGAAAAGGCTTTGTATGATGAAAAAAAACTTGCTAATATTGACCTCTGTGTTAAAGGTTACATTGCAATTGGTTTGTAATTTTAGAGAAATTAGTTCTTTCACTCTGAGACATACTTTATCTATCCCTTGCAGTGTTTTTAGTGTTTTCTGTCGCTATTCCCTTTTTACACTGCTGCGTTGTTAAGCACTTCATGGGTCTTCCGGAAAGCATTTGGAGGACAAAGATGATTAACCTACCTCCATTGTTGTTGTTTAGTCGTTAAGTCGTGTCCGACTCTTCGTGACCCCATGAACCA